AGAGCCCTCATAGCTCATGTCATTCCACACCCCTGCCGTGGGCAGGGACATCTTCCACTATCCCAGGTTGCTCTAAGCCCCATCCAACCTGGCCTTGGACACGTTCAGGGATGGGGCAACCACAGCTTCTCTCTGTGCCAGGGCTTCAGCACCCTCACAGGGAAGAATTTCTCAATATCCAGTGTGAGTCTTCGCTCTTTTGGTTTCAAACCATATAAAAAGACTTTGTCCATCATTTTAACAAGTTCTCTTTAACTCCTGATAGGCCACAATGAGCCCTCACATGCTGTCCAGTCCTTGGTGTCTCTTGCTTGTTTAAGTGGGGAAACAAATTTCTCCTGTCTCCACGCTGTAGCATCTGCTCCTGTGCCACTTTGGGGTCATTGCTCCCCTGCTGCCAGCCCATCAGCCCAGATGCTGAAATAGAGCACAGGGCAGCCTGCAGCCTCTCGTGCCCATCCGATGCCACCTCCCGGCCCTGCAGCCTTGGCAGCAGCCTGGCAGAGCTGCCCACGAGCTCCCTGTGCTGCTCAGGTACTGGAAGGAGCGCTGGGAGGTCGGGCCTGCAGTTCCTCAGCTCTGGGACAGCCAGGCTGGGGTCACTGGGAGAGGGCTGGGCGTGGGTGCAGCTTCTGCTCTTTGCTACCCACGGGGTGCAGGTCCGGCCTTCCCAGGCTCTGGAGGAAAAGGAGCTTTGAAGGCTGGTGAGAAGGAGCCTTTGAGTGAAATCTTAATCCCCTCCAGAGCTTTCCCTAATCCCTGGTAATGTGCTCTTCAAAGACCCACTTCCAAAGGAATGACTGCACTTTCTCACTCCCAATCTCTCCTTCCCCAAGGAATTGCCCAAAGGTGTTCTCACTGACTGTTTCCTCTCATTTTCCTCTGGTGAATAGAATTAATTATTTTAAAACATAATGAACGAAGCAATTTCTGCAGCAGGTAGTGGCAAATACAGCTGATTTATTGGGAGAGATTTCTACTGTTAAGGATATATTTATACTTCGTTTCACCCCCTTTCCCTGGAGGGGATCTGCAGCCTTTTCCCCCCAATATCCCACTGTAACACTTCCAACTTTGAAATCAAACCTCAAAAATGTGTAGGAAAGATGGCAGGAAACCAACATCTACATTCCTTTCCATAAACCATTTTTTTGGTTACCAAGTTCCATGGCATGGGCAGTTTCCTGTGGCTGCAGCCCTGGCTATGAAGGGCCAAATTCAAAGTGACTCAAGAGAAGGTCATGGATTAGGACAGCTTGGAAAATATGTGTGTGTGTGTGTGTGTGTGTGTGTGTGTGTGTGTGTACAGGTCACCTCTGTGTGTGTCTATCTGTCTGTCCGTGTATCCAGGTCAGCTCCGTGTGTGCCTGTGGCACACCCAGCAGGGGTGTGTGCATCACTCAGCAGGTGAGGAGGGCTGGGTGTAGGTGTGTGTCATGTTCACACACACATGAGTGTGTCCGTGTGTGCGCTTGTGTGTGCACGTGCATGGGTCTGTGTGCGTGAGTGTGAGCACACAGGCTCATGTGTGTGAGCACGTACACATGTGCATGCGTGAGCACATACATGTGTGCCTACGTGTGAGCACGGCTGTAGATGTGGGTACAGGTACGTGTGCACGCGTGTGAACATGGCTGCAGATGTGGGTACGGGTACGTGTGCACGCGTGTGAGCACGGCTGCAGATGTGGGTACGGGTACGTGTGCACATGTGCATGCGTGGTTTTGTTCGTGTGCACGCCCGTGTGTCCCCATCCTGCCTATCCCCGTGCCGTGGATCCCATGCCTCCATGTTCATGTCCCATGTCACCATGACCCCGTGTCTGTGTATTCCCCATCCCCGTCGCCATGTCCCATCCACGTCCCCATGTTCCTCTCCCTGTCCCTGTGTCCATGTATCCCGCCACCCCATATCCCTACCCCTGTCCCCATGTCCCTATCCCTGTCCCCGTGTCCTTACCCCTGTCCCCATGTCTGTGTGCCCCCATATCGCTGTCCCCGTATCCCCCTGTCCCCATACCTGTCCCCATGTCCTCCTGTGTGTCCTCCTGTCCCCATATCCCTATCCCTGTCCCGATGTCCCTCCCCTGTCCCCGTGTCCCTCCCCCTGTCCCGATGTCCGTCTGTCCCTCCCCCGTCCCCGTGTCCGTCTGTCCCTCCCCTGTCCCCGTGTCCGTCTGTCCCTCCCCCGTCCCCGTGTCCCTCCCCCTGTCCCCGTGTCCGTCTGTCCCTCCCCCGTCCCCGTGTCCGGCCCCGCCATCGGCGCATTCTCGGCCCCGCCCCTCGCGCATGCGCAGAGCCCGTTCCCGGCAGCCCGGCCGTGACCCCGCCCCGGCCGCGTGCGGCGGTGCCGGGACACACCGGGATATACCGGGATATACCGGGACACACCGGGATATACCGGGGCTAGTCCCGGGACACACCGGGATATCCCGGGATATACCGGGACTAGTCCCGGGACACACCGGGATATCCCGGGATATACCGGGACTAGTCCCGGGACACACCGGGATATACCGGGACACACCGGGACTCCCTCCGGGACACACGGGGGCACACCAGGACACACCGGGACTCCCTCCGGGACACACGGGGGCACACCAGGACACACCGGGACTCCCTCCGGGACACACCGGGGCACACCAGGACACACCGGGACTCCCCGCGACCGTCCGGGACCCCCGGCGCCGCCGGGCCATGAGCGCCGCGGAGCCGCCGGGCCGCGGGATGCTGTTCGCCGAGACGCAGCTGAGGCGGCACGGCTGGCGCCGAGGTGGGGCGGGCGGGGGTCCCCGGCCTGTCCCGTCCCACCCTGAGCGCCCCCGGTGCCCCCAACCCCCGGCTGCCCCCAGACTCCGAGCCCCGAGCCCCCAAGCCCCATCCTGCCCAGCCCCGGGACCCTGCGGCCCCCGGCAGCCCCCGGTCCCCACCCCAGACCCCGGTGGTGCCCCGGGGCCGCCCCCCGCTCCCCGCTGGAGCTCTCCCCGCGCCCTCGGGGTGCTGCAGCCCCGGTGCCCCGGTGCCCCGGGCGCGCAGGGTGACGGGTGCGCTGTGTGCAGGGCAGGGGCTGGGCAGGCGGGAGGACGGCATCGCCGAGGCCATCCGGGTGAAGGTGAAGTGCGACACGGCGGGGGTGAGTCCCGGTCCCCGCCCGGCCCCGGCGCGCTGCCCGCTGCCCCGCGCGGCATCCCGGACTCCTCTGCACCCCGCAGGTGGGACACGACGCGGCGGAGCCCTTCACCTTCCACTGGTGGGACCACGTCTTCAACCAGGCGGCTGCCAACATCGCCGTGGAGGCCGGGCAGGTTGGAGCGCTGGGGGTGGGACGGGGATGGGGTTGAAGGCAGGGGAGAGGGTCTGGGTTCCTTCGGTGACTCCTGTACTGCCACCGTATCCCCTGTGAGGAAGCAGCACCTTGCCGAGGGGCTGTGGTGGTGGAGAGGCGCTGCTTGGACGGGTCATTTCCAAGCCCTTTGCCTTTTCTCGCCAGGATGGCATCTCTGTGAAGGCGCTTTCGGAGCAGGGAGGCAGCATCAGCAATAAGAAGCCGCGCAAGGCTGGTGGCAGCGGGAGCTTGCTGTACGGCCGCTTCGTGAAGGTGACTGGCCCCCGGAGCCTGGCGGTGCACGGCCCCCAGCTCGTTGCTGCTGCGGCCCCCAGAGCCCCGTTTTCTTTGTCCCCCTTGGTCACAGTCCCTGTGTCTCTGTGCTGCAGTCAGCCACGCTCACAGCCTGTGGGGAGGAGTCTGTGACAGCGCCCGGCACCTCTGAGAGCAGCGAGGAGGAGGAGAAGCTGGACCTCTCTTCGGTCAGGAGGTGAGGCTGGGCCCATCCCTTGGCAGGGAGGGACGAGGGCTGACAGGTTCCCTGCCCCAGGCCGTGCTCCCCGCGCAGTGCTGGGCTGACGGGTCGTGTCTGTGTCCCGCAGGCTGACGGACGAGGAGCTGGTGCAGGCGTGCGGGGGCCGCACGGCACACAAGTGAGTGGCTGGGGCTCAGCTGGCCGGGCTGCCCCTCCTTGCAGGGGCTGCTGAGCAGGCTGGGCTGGGGCACACCTTCCCTGCTGGGGAGGTGCCAGTCCTTGCTGCCCGTGGTGTTGCAGGGGTGCCCGTCACGGCCTGACCATGAGTGCCAAGCTGGCGCGCCTGGAGGAGCAGGAACGAGCCTTCCTGGCCACGTACCGGCAACGGGAGCAGCAGCAGGAGCCCCCGGAGAGCAGCCAGGGCAAAAAGAAGAAAAGAAAACAGTCCAGGGACGGAGACAACCCCGAGGTGCTACAGAGCCAGGAACCAAACAGAGAACAGGAGGAGGTGTTGGGAGAAGAAAAGGTTGTGAGGAGGAAGAAAAAGAAGCAGGGGCCAAGCAGAGAAGAGGAGCTGACAGGAGAGGAAGAAGTCATGAGGAAGAAGAAGAAGAAGAAGGAGAAGGTGATCATGGAGCCATGTGGAGAAGAGGTATCAGGAGAGGAGGGGAAGGTCATGAAGAGGAGGAAGAAGCCAGAACTAAGCACAGAAGAGAAGGTGGTAGAAGAGGAGGGGAAGGCTGCAAAGAGGAGAAAGAAGAAAAAGAAGAAGAAGCAGGAAGAGGAGGACCAGGAAGAGGAGGACAAAGAGGAGCCAGCTGAAACAGATGTACCTCTGCAAGAGATGGATGAACCAAACCTGGGACACAGCCCTACAAAGAAGAGAAAGAAGAAGAAGAGGAAGAGGGAGCCAGAGTGAGAAGTGACTTGGCTGCCATGCTGTGCAGCTGCCAGTCCCACCTGGCTGTAAGGGTCCTGATCCCGGTGCTGGTGGGTGCCATGGGCTTCTCTGAGCTTGTTCCAGATGGAGCCCAGCACTGTGGCCCAGCTGCCTGGGGATGCTGGGCTAAGAAAAGCTGGTCTGGAGCTGGATCAAGCTTTACTTCACCACCTCAAGAACGACCCTGGTTTCCCCCAGGCCCTGGGGAAGGGACCCATTTGCCATGGGCCTGCCACAGAAGGACACAAGGACACACGCTGCAGAGTACTGAAATATTTTTTCAAGGGCATGAATAAATCTTTATTGTAATCAGATTATCCCAAAGTGTGAGTGGCGCTGTGAGTGGCAGAACCCCAGGTCACCTTTACACCGGCAGCAGCCCCAGAGAGAGCTCTCCCTGCAGCCCCTCACCACTCCCACATCTACACCCTTCCATCCTGCTGGCTCACACCGAAGCCCAGTGAGGTGTTGAGCACCCTCCCAGCAGAGGCTTGGGCAGAATTTGGCCCTGGTGTGCAGTGCTGAAGCCGAGCCTGGCCCCCCAGCCCCTCTGGCCCCAGCTCTAGGTCAGCTGCAGGACGCAGTCTGTGCCGGGGTACGCTGGCAGGTTCAGAGCATATTTCTCCTGCAGCGCGGGGGGCACAAACCTGCCCCCAAGGAAGTGGTACCGGCCGGTGAAATGCATCGCTGCCTTCTTGGGCGCCGTCAGGGAGATGAGCATGTCGGGCTGGAGGCCGTCTGCCTTCCCCTTCTCCACATCCCAGCCTGCAACGAGCCCCGTGGCCAGGCTGGAGCTGGGACCACCCTGGCCGGGCACCTTCCTCTGGCAGGTGCAGCCACAACTCACCTGAGGGGATGTCGATGCTGGCGATGGGCACCGTGACGCGCTCCAGAGTGCTGAGGATGCTGCCAAAGGGCTCCCGCACTGCTCCCGTGAAGCTGAAGCCGAAAATGGCATCCACCACCAGGCCATAGAGCTCGTCGATGAACGCGGCCTGCGGCAGGGGTGGCAGCGGGTGAAGGGCAGTCCTGGCCACAGCAGCAGGGGCAGGTGCTGCCAGGCTGGGGGCTGCTCCTCACCTCAGTTGGGAACTCGGGGAGGAAGGGAATATCCATCTTCTTGCACTGGGTGGTCAAACCTTCAAAGAGTGGCTTGCTGGAGCGCTTGGGGTAATACACGGTTGGCTGGTAGCCCTGCAAGAGCAGAAGGCACCTGAACTAATCCCACCCTGGCACCAGCAGCAGCCAGAGGAGTGGGACCCTGGAGCCCACAGGGGTGCACAGGTACCAGCACCCTCACGGGGACCCTGTGGCTCCTGCGCAAGACTCACAAACATCTTCAGGTGCCGGGCGCAGACCAGCCCGTCGCCGCCGTTGTTCCCTGGCCCGCAGACCACCAGGACAGCGGGCTGGCTCGTGGTGAAGGAGCTGGGTGGGTAGGCCTGATGGGGGGCAAGAGGCGCAGCGTTATGATGGGGAAGTGGGCTGGGATTCGCAAGACCCCCGATTTGGGACTGGCACGCCCATGGGATTGGGATGATTCCCAGGACCACCATCTGCCTCCCTGGTGCCCACCTTGGTGGCAGCACAGTTTGGTACACAATGCCAGGACCCCCAGGACCCTCCCTTGCCCCCCAGGGCCTGCAGGGTGGGGATAGTGGGGATAGGACTCAGCCTGTAGTGCTGGCACTCTCCCCCAGAACCTCCACCCACCTCCTGGCACCCGCCCTGGCAGTGGCACAGCTCAGCCCACCATGTTGGGACCCCCCTGGAGCAGCTCAGCCCACAGTGCCAGGACCCCCAGCTTGCTGCT